AAGAAGTGACAACGAAACTCATTTATGTAAATGTGATGACAGATTATTCATTAATGGAGTGGTGAATTCCATTTAGATTTTAGCTGCAAACTAGATATCATGATTAACCACTGTAATTTTTTAGGCCTGACTGACTGATTGAAATGCCTAGGACAGAAACAACATTAGTGTTGTGTTGCTGCATGACCTAGGGGACAACCACATGAGACTAGTCACACATAGCCTGTTTGAAGTGAATTATAAAGTTGTGTCTATATAAAGACGTTACCACCGGCAGCAAACGGCGGTACCGTAAGTCGAGATGTACAAATTCTACTAAACTTCCCGCAGTGGCGCTGCAGCGAGGCTAGTCGTCTCAGCGAAACGCCTTTCTAGTGATATACTCCAACTCATATACAATGGCGATTTGTGGATCAGGTGGATGGTTCAAGTTGTAAAGCCTTCTAGACAACATCTTCAGTGCATACTTTGAATTTGAAGCTTAAATTGGTATACGCAATCAATCAGTACAAGTGAACTAGAGAGTGAGGAAATCTCTAAAAACAGCTAATTATTATAAAGGTTATCGAAAGAGAGGAGTTGATAAACTCGTAGCGAATTCTAAAACCATACTTTAAACTAAATTGTACTCTGGAGACGTCACCTAGAAGAACAATCAAAAGTTTCTCAGCTAAGAGAACACAAAGACCTGAGGACGTTCAACAGAATGTTAAAACTGATTGAAATGTCCATTAAAATTTTCGAAAGAATGGATACTGAACAAAGAATACTGCTTTCGATAACTTCATCATCAGGTTGTACAGTTATATATACATTATAATGAATGAATGAATTAGCCAGATTACTAGCTTCCTACGCTACTAGCTTGCTAGTTTTCTAGCCGGTCCCAAGCCTGGATAAAGAGGGAGGGTTGAGGCGTGGTGCTAGCAACTCCACCCCTGTAAAACAACCAAATCGCTACAGAAACTTCAACGAATAAATATATTAAAAATTCTAAAAACATAAGCAATAGCCTTACTTTTCGCTGGAATCGGGGAAGTGAAATGACGCAGGCTGGTGAAAGCCTTCGGGAAGCCAGTCAGCCGATGTGCCTTCTTTCGATGAAAGCAAAAGTAAGGATGGGTACCTGGAATGTTCGTACAATGTACGAAACTGGAAAGGCTGCCCAGATAGCCGCTGAAATGAGAAGGTACAGAATAGAAGTGTTGGGAATCTGCGAAAGCAGATGGAACGGAACTGGAAGGTGCCAACTACCTACTGGAGAGACAGTAATCTATTCCGGCCACCCAGAGGACAACCATGAGCACACCGAGGGAGTGGCCATCATGATGTCACCAACAGCAGCCAAAGCTCTCATGCAGTGGGAACCAATCTCCTCCAGGATAATGACAGCCAGGTTCAACTCAAAAGGAAGGAAAGTTACAGTCATTCAATGCTATGCGCCTACAAACGTCTCAGAACAAGAGAAGAAGGAGGCGTTCTACAGACAACTACAAGCAATAATGGACAACGTCCCAAATGGCGATATCAAAATCCTGATGGGCGACATGAATGCGAAGCTGGGAGGAGACAACACAGGAAGAGAACTCACCATGGGTCGTGAGGCCCTCGGTGAAATGAACGACAATGGTGAACTCTTCTCAGACTTCTGCGCCTTCAATGATTTGGTGATTGGTGGTAGTGTGTTCAAACACAAGGATATACACAAGACGACATGGATTTCACCAGATGGAAACACCAAGAATCAAATAGACTTCATCTCAATTTCAAGAAAGTGGAGACGGAGCCTACTGGACACAAGGTCAAGGAGAGGAGCAGATGTGGGTTCAGACCACTATCTAGTAGAAGGGACTTTCAAGGTGAAACTAAAAGCCTCGAGGATAGCTGGGGATAGGCCACAACTCAAACTGAAGGACACAACCACAAAAGACACCTTCACTGCAACTGTCAGAGCAAAGCAGGAAACACTACGCGACATCACTGAAGAATCATGCGTGGAAGAACATTGGAAGTCTCTGAAGGCGATTCTCAACGAAACGTGTTCAACGGTTCTAGGAAGAAAGAAGAGACAAGACAAGGAATGGCTCTCAACGGACACTTGGAAATTAATAGAAGAGAGGAGAATGGTGAAAGAGAAAATGATTCAATGCAAGGACGGACAGGAGAAGGAGACGCTGAGCTCAACTTACAAAGCACTGGACAAAGAAGTGAAGAAGAGTGCTAGGAAGGACAAAAGACGATTCTACGACAACCTGGCCACTGAAGCTGAAAAGGCAGCAGGCAAAAGGGACCTGAGGACACTATATCAGATAACCAAATCTCTATCCGGGAAGAGATCAACACAAGCGAAACCTATAAAAGACAGCCAAGGGAACCCCATTACCAAGGAAGAAAAACAGATTAAACAATGGGCGGATCACTTCAAAGGACTCTTGAACCGACCTGCAACCCGTCCAGAAATACCAACAACAGCGCGCACACAACTGCAAGTTGACACCAATCCTCCAACGAGAGCTGAAGTCTTGAATGCAATCAAGCTTCTGAAAGCTGGAAAAGCAGCCGGACCAGATGGAATACCCCCTGAAGCACTGAAAGCGACCCCAGAGACGACAGCAGACATGCTGACTCCATTATTGCAAAAGGTCTGGAAGGAGGGAAAGGTGCCTACTGACTGGAGGAAAGGTTACCTCGTGAAACTACCAAAGAAGGGCGACTTAGGCCTCACTCTGCAAGAACTGGCGAGGAATCATGCTCCTGTCGACGCCAAGTAAAATCCTGAGTCGCATCATCCTGGAGAGATTAAAGGACGCACTGGAGACAGAACTCCGACCAGAACAAGCTGGATTCAGGAAAGGCAAATCATGTACTGACCAAATTGCAACTCTACGCATCATCATCACAGAACAAAGCATGGAATGGCAATCAAACCTCTACCTCAACTTTATAGACTTTGAGAAGGCCTTCGACAGCGTTGACCGTGAAGTAATTTGGAAATTACTCGAGTACTATGGCGTACCCCAAATATTCATCAACCTTATTCAACAGCTGTACGACAACGGCACATGTCAAGTGATCCACAACGGAAAACTCAGCGAGGCGTTTGGAGTAAACACAGGAGTCAGACAAGGGTGCTTATTATCACCAATGATATTCCTAATTGTGGTGGACTGACTGGATTATGCGTCAGACAGTGGGAAACGAGAAGACAGGAATATCCTGGACCGACGTGAAGAACCTAGAAGACCTGGATTTCGCGCGTGGATGATTTATGTTTGATGTCACACAAAATCGAAGACTTACAAGCGAAAACCGACAAACTGGTCGAAGAAGCAGCCGGCGAAGACAGGACTCCAGGTGAACATAGACAAGACGGAGGTTATGAAAATAACCAACCAACAACAACAGCAACATCCAACGTCAATCACCATCAACGGGAGGGATTTGAAAGAGGTTACTTCATTCACTTATCTAGGGAGCATTGTCTCAACTACAGGAGGCGGAACGGACGAGGATGTCAAATCGAGCGAGAATCGGGAAGGCGAGAAACACATTCATCAACCTGAAATCAATCTGGAAATCTTCGTCACTCAGCATCAACAACAAAATTCGGATTTTCAATACAAACGTAAAGTCATCAGTTCTTCTATACGGATCAGAAACTTGGCGGCGGGTCACAAAGAATATTTCCAAAAGGTTGCAGACCTTTATTAACAACTGTCTTCGCTCTATACTGAAGATCAGATGGCCGGAAAGAATCACCAACAAGGAATTATGGGAACAAACAAAGCAAGAACCAATCGCCCAACAAATATGCAGGAGAAAGTGGAGATGGATCGGACACTCGCTGAGGAGACCGCTGGGTGACATCGCGCGTCAAGCCCTCGAGTGGAACCCGAAAGGGAAGCGGCGTGTGGGACGTCCAAGGGTGACATGGAGGAGATCGTGTGAAGAGGAGTTGAAAGAGTATGGACTTACATGGATGCAGGTGAAAAATACACCAGAAGACAGAAGCAAATGGAGACGTGCAGTTGAAGCCCTATGTTCCACTAGGAACCCAAGGGAGCAATAATATATAATAATAATATACAACATTAATGCTGTTTAAATAACATCGAATGTTGGTAGATTACAGCTCACAAGCATCAACATAAAAATAAGCTGAATGTCAGAAAAATTAGGAAAGAAAATATTACAAAATCAAGAATTTATAGTCTCTACTGAAGGCCAGGGCAGCAGTAGAGGTTTGATTTGCTTCTTTTGAACACAGAGCACTGGTTGTTTGAAGCGAATTGCAATAGCCTCTGCTGTTTGAAGTATGCGGTGCTTCGATGATTTTGGCAATTTATTAGGCACCCGGTATATTATAGAGAAGGATTCATCCACGCTGGCTTTGTCACCAGTTTGCACCAGATGGTCCAATATCGAACTGTTAATGGTTTTAACTACACCTTTACTTAGCCATAGTGGAAGATGTTCTCGAGCACGAATGTTAAAAGCTCATGTGATGATTACAACATCATTTAGCCTTGATAATACCTGTGTGGACATCAATTCTAACCAATATCACCCATTGGATCATTACCATATACAAATTCGATAACTACATCAAACAAAGAAACAACTATCAGTTGGGATTTAAGCTTGAAGGTGAATTCATTGTTAACAGAAATTGAAATAAATAACAAAGACACAAAAGAACTCCTTTTTGTTGATTTTGATTTGTTCATCTTCTTCCTCTTGTTTGCTTGACTGATAGAATTCAGACTGCACCAAAGAAAGGACTAAACACATGACACTACTTATTAGTGTCCATCCAATCAAAGTAATCTCAACACTATCTATACGTATATAATCTCAGCTTGCCATTGTTAAGATCTTTTATTGATTTATAAAATTTAAACTACTCTGTCTATCGACCGCTGACCTGAAATATATATGCTCTAATGTAAATATAAATATAAAGGCAAAATGGGAAGATAACGTACTACAGTTCGTCAAAAATGTATAACACTTACAATTCAACTACACAAGATATTGAAAACAAAGGCATACATCAAATTATAGATAAACCTTATGATCAAAAATATTTTAAAGAATTAAATACAATTCAACCAGATTTTACTGATATGTCATTAGAACAGTTAAAAATAGCTCATTGGAGAGGATATTCACAAATATGTGTCCAGGATGCTTATACACCACAGTCAGAATATCGTGCACAATTTGCAGATTTTATAAAAGATTCAAAATCTTATCAAAAAATGCAACCTTATTGTATATGTTCAATTGGTAATCCAATAACTATTGTTGGTATGGATATACCAAGGTTATATACTGGAAAATGTGATTTGAAACGTCCACAAACAGAAAGTGATTTAAACAAACAACTTGATGGAACAGCTGAATAGTGGTGGATTGTGTTCAACTGTCAGTGCTTAAACTAGTATTAAACAAAATAAAAAGAAAATTTTGATGACGACCACCGAAAGCTGAGCAATTCACTTATCCTTCTAGAAATGTTACGTAATTCCTTTGATGAAATATTTCAAACATGTCGTGGTCCTTATGATAAATATTCTGTAATGTTGATTTGTGTTTTTACACAAAGATATTTTCTTCAATTTTTTCTGTATTAAAATATAAATTAATTTGTAAATTCTATTTTCATTTTAATCAAATAAAAGTATTCATTGAACATTTAACAAATGACCTTGAGTAAGTGTTTTAATGAACTGAAAGCGCATACATTTGTGATTGGTTTGATATTTCATTTATTTCTGTTACCTAAGAAATTAGCGTAACATTATCAGTTGATATTTTAGTCATGAGAAATTCTGAAAAAAATGTAATGGTCGTACTCATGAACTTGTAATTCTACCTTATGCTTCGATATTGGATAGTATGCCATCCATCCGCGATATTGGATTAAGTCTTTTATCAGATGCTCATTAGATATATCACTAGGTTAAACGGTATTATTTACTAGTGACGTTGCGAAGCCAGTATACTGCTCACATAATTATGCCATCAATTGTAACTACACAACTTCGAAACTTGATTTTTCTGTAGCTATCACTTTTCCTTCTCATTTGTCGTAAAAGAAGTAAAATCTTCGAGATTTCTAAAATATGTGTGTATTCAATCTTAATGAATGGGTTATCATCAGCTGACTCGATACATAAAGTTACCAGTTACCAATCTCTCCCTCCACCACAGTGCCCAAATTTTACACGTATATATTAGTTATCAGATGTCTGTTTGGTTATGTAATATTATTATTATTATATTATTATAATTCCAATGAATTCAGAGTGGAACACAAGGCTTCAACAACACACCTCCACTTTCTTCTATTTTCTGCCGTCCTTTTCAGACCATAGTCTCTCATCTCCTCCTCTCCAACACACGATCTTCTACATGTCGACCACGCACTGACCACCCACTCGTCGCTACCTATTTGGATTCCACTGGCAAAGTTCAACAATAGAGTCCCAAGGGATGCGAACTCACAATGACCTTGAGCCGACTAATCAGAAAATAGGAGGACTTTTGCATAAAATTTTACGTAAATTTACACAAGAAAGCATGAAAAAAGCATTATACTGGATATTTCTGTCTAATATGAGATAAAAGGTCTCCCAGTTATATTGAGGAGTATCAGTTTCTAAATTAAACCAATTTCTATACACATATTCGTCCAGATGACTAAAAATGACCTCCTTTTGAGAGCCGTTTATAGCTCTTATTCTATTTTTTAGTCTTCCCCAGAAACCTTCGATTGAATTGGTATGGGTAGCGGTTCTAGGGTCCACGAGGTCATCTGAATGGTTTACTCGATGGTGTATATATCCCAAATCCGATAATCGGTTATATCCTGCCCATTCATCCGTATGAATGGTTGTGCCTGGCAACACCAGTCTTCGAATAATAGGTAGTAGTGTATCCGCACTCCTATCCGGAATGAGTTCGATGAAACCTTTGCGAATCTGCGTGTCGTAACTACCAAGAACCCAAACGTTATTGGCCCTAGCACGTCCCCGGTTATACTTCCTCTTTATAAGCACAGTTTCGTCGATGTGAACAACGACACCCACTCCGCCTAGCACTTGCGTGATGGTATTTATTTTCCACGACGCTATATCTCTGCAAAACTGGAACCATTGCACAGTAGACGGTAAGGTATTGTCTGTCTGGGCTGCAGTTGATCTCACTCCGGTCTTCAAAATCCAGTAATGACATAGAAACAGGATATTCGTCAACGAAAGTTTCGATTTTTCGAAGAAAGTTCCTAAAAGATAATCAACTGACAGTGTTACTTACCAGTGCGAACACTTGTTCGCTTCCTACACTGTGTACACCTGAATATATATCCATCGATGGCCTGGGTTTACGGCTGCAGTTTCATTGAAGCACCGCAACTACAAATCCGAGCACCTCCTATTAACCCATTGTCTAAACAGTACTGAAAAACATGCTCTGGCTGAAATTTGCATCTGAGCAAATGCACAGGCGTCATTTTCGCGCTAGAAAAATAAGAAGGTTCCTCAACCAATGACTAGCATGCGTTCACGGTCATTGAACGTTGAGGGTTTTGGGACGCTATTCTTAAACTTCGCCTGTTAGATGTCTTCAACATATTCTCAATCCATCTCCACTTTCTCCGCCAAATTTGTTAAACAATCGTCTCTCGCCTGTTGGTTTGTTGCCAGCGAGAGTTTCTTGTTGCTACTTCTTTCTGACCGGCCGGCTAGCAGTTCGATCTTCAATATGGAGCCAGCCAGCGAAGGTGACAGCTGTTGATAAAAGTCTGTAACTTGTTGGAGATACTTTTCGTGACACGCAGTGCAAGTTTCTGACCCGTATAGAAGAACCGAATTGACACTCATATTGAACAGAACGCGAATCTTGTTCCTTATGCTGAGTGCAGTGAAGAAGATTTCCAAACTGGTTTCAGACTGATGAAGACGTATCTTGCCTTTCCGATTCCGGCTGTCTGGCTGGCTTTCAAATCTTCATCCGTTCGGACTGCCTGTGGTTGGAACCGCGCTTTCCAGATGAGTGAAGCAAGTTACCTCATTGAAATCTCTCCCTTTAATGGTGATTGGTGCTGGCCGTTGTTGTTGTTGTTAGTTGGTTATCTTCATTAGCAATATTCGTCTTCTCTATGTTCACATGGAGTTCTGTCTTCACTCGCTGATAGCTTCTTCAGTCATTTTGTTGGTCTTCGCCTGAAAATCTTTGAGTTTGTGTGATAGTAGACATAAATCATCCACGAAGATCTACTAGAGTCTTCTTGTCGGTTCAGGGTATTTCTGAATTCTCACTGCCTGTGCACAGTCTTCCACATAATCCAGTCCACTACAGTTAAGAATATCATCAGTGATAACAGGCAGTCAGCATTCTAACTCCTGTATTCACTTCAAGCGCCTCTCTGAGTCTTCCGTTGTGGATCACCTGACATATGGCTGTAAATGGACTTTTCTCATTGGTTTAAGATTATTGACATATATGTATAGAAGTAATTACTTTGCTAATGAAAATTTTATTATAAAATGAAGATCCAGTCACTGAATTCACTTGACATATTATTGAAGAGTAATGCTTTAAATCTTGTCAACATTCAGGAATATTTTACAGTAATTATGATATTATTATTCCCTTGGATCAGGAAGTTGAACACAAGGCTTCAACAGTACATTCCGACTTTGTCTTGTTCTCCTCTTCGCATTCCACTCGACAGTCTGCGGTATGATATCACTCAACAGTCTCCTCAGTGCATATCCAATCCAGCTCCATTCACTTTGACAAATTTGTTGAGGAATAGATTCTTGGTTGATAAATGCTCAGAGTTTCTTGTTGCTAAACCTTTCTAGCCATCTGATCTTCAGTACTGAGCGAAGTCAATCTCTAATTACTGTCTGCTTTTCGTGTCGCGTCAAGTCCCTGAGACATATAGAAGAAATAACTTGACATTATAGGATATGTTGTGGAATGCATCACATAATCTCTATTGGTGTGGTGATTTAAGAGATCTCAGTGTGGGTGAAGACAGGTAGTTTACGTTGCTATATGTACGAACTGTTTCGCACTAAACTGGTCTTCTTCATTAGGGTATTGATTTTAATAAAGCATTTGATGAAATCGAAAAAACTTAGTCATTCCTCACTAATATACATAACTGAAATAGAAGTAGTAGTAGTAGTGCGGTGTGTGCTACTGAAAAGATTTACGAGTAGTATATAGATGCAGATATAAACATGTATATCATATGCAAAACTTTCGAATGACGAAGAGAAAGATTATCTCATCGATGCTTAAGAAACAACATAGAAAACATGAAAGGAAGGCAAAGCATTACAATTCCAAAGTGATATGCAAATTGTGATTCTATCACATGGTAGACGTTATCAAATTCTCTTATCTTCTGTCGTTGCAGCAGTAGTTGTTGTTATAGGAATAATGATAAAGGGAGTGTCTTACAGGAAGTGTAACGAGTTACAGATATCTTGTGAACCATAGTCTACACATCTAAAGTACTCTGTTTTAGAAAAAAATAGATTTGGAAGTGGGAGGTTAAGGGATTCTGTGGAACCAATTAAACAAAACTATGTAGTTTATCTAATACCTTGCTGGAATGATTTTCAGGTAAAATACATAGGTCAAAGTAGTAGAACAGTGGCAGTCAGACTAGAGGAGAATAAAAACTTAGCCAAATCTAGATTATTCGACCCTAATAAGATAAGAAATCTAGACAATAGTTCAGCTATAGCAACATCTGCAACTACACACATCTATACGATAGGGTGATGGCATAAGATGATAGTTTTGAAATCTAATGTAACAGGGCTGAGGAAGAGATTGCTGCCGAAGGCTTTATTTACTGAAATAACCGCGAGTACATATAGTAGAAATGATGCAATACCTGTCTCAGATATCTTGAAAATTCTACTACCCCTGCAACGACGAATAGGAAAGAATAAAGAAAACTACAAAACGAAAGTTTCGGGGTTGTGTGGTTATAATTGGTGATTTAATAATGAACAATAAATTGTGTTCGAAACACTGTCATCCTGTGAATAATACTGTTTCACTGTGTGATATGTAATCTAATAAATAAGTTAACGGTGGAGTAGATTTTGAGGTTACTTGATACAGGCTGAAATATTTTCCTTCCTGAGGATTGCAACAAGAAACAGAATATGAAGAACAAGACGCTGAAAAGTGCAATAGTTTACAATAACATTAATTTTATGTGTTTCACAGCCAAAAGAATATTTTTCAGTTAATAAATTCTATGATGAATTATTTTTGTTCGAGACATATATGACTGACTAACCGACTGTCAGATGGATCAACGTAGAAATATCCACATAATTCTATCAATTCAAGACAAATACAAGTGGGTTAG